AAAAAGAAGCGTTGATCTTATTGGCTGGGGGAGGAGGATGACTTGCTGAATTGGAGTTCACCACAATGCAATGCATCCTGCCTGATTTGAGTGATAACCTCAGGAAAAAAAAGGCACTCCTAAATTTGAAATTAACTGTACCCACACTACCATAGCTACTGGTATCGTGCGTAACACCATGGCATATAACGCCATCTAGGCCCAATAGTTTTTCCATCAAGAGCCATGAATAATTCCCTAAGAAATCCCTCCTGATCAGCATCTCAATCAATCAATCAATCAATTAAATTTGATTTGATATTCGCATATCACAATTTGTCTCATAGGACTCAACAAGGTGCAACATCCTCTGCCCTCAACCCTCAATAAGGGTAAAGAAAAACTACCCAAAAAAACGTTTTAACATGTCGAAACCTCATGTGAGGATCCCTCCCCCAGGATGAACGGAAGTATAGATGTCACGTGTAACTGAGAACATCAACAAAATAACAGTATTTACTACATTCATTTGAAGAAACAGTTTTTAACGGAGATGGAATAATGGAGAAGTGTGTCAAAGTATTTGTGCATAAGAAAATTTCTGATTCTGACTGAATCATGAATTAAGGAGTTATTGTCAGTAATGGTGGCGTAGCGAGTAGGTGTTTTGTGTGTCAAACTGTCTTGAAATAATCATAGTCCACGATCAGGATCCACACCATTATCTGCACCAGAATTTTCTTCCACCCCTCCATAAAAAACTCTTCATTAGTTTCCACATAAACCTGTAAAATAACACAGGCCCAACAGTCCCCGTATGATATCCAAACTCTGCAGATCCAGATTTCATTGAATCTGCACCAAAATGCCCAGTCTCAGAAGTTCAACTTCTTGAAGAACTGTAAAGTCCAATTGTCTTTATATAATGAAGAAAATAACTAAAATCTATAAGATCACCAGGAGATCCTGTGAGACCAAAACAATAAACTAATTCATCTGTTTTATTCCAGACAGAAAGAACTCCTGATTACTTTTGTCACCGAGTGTTTTCAGTCTGTGTTTTGTCATCTTAAACCTCTGAGACCTCCCAGTGCTCATTTCGTCACAGCTTCCATGGAGTCTAGTGTTTGGATTTGTAGCTTTGCTTCGGATAAGAAGAAACACACACACACACGATTTGTTAATTTATTGCAGCCTGCAAGAGAAAATGAGTTTTGTCTTGTGCTTGTTGAGAATTTATCAGTATTTATAACTTCAAAATCTTTTCATCAAAATCCAATTAGTTTAGTGCTCAAAGGGTTATTACCCAGATGTTCTCATCATACAGCTAAACAGCATAAAGAGGGCCGTATATGCTTCTGAACTTGTTGAGGAAAATTGTGTCGTGAATAATAATCTCTACGATCTGCTCACTAAATGATTCTGTTGTTTTGTTGCAGGGACCGCTGAAATCTCTAATTGTGTAACATGATCACAAATTATGAATGCACTTTCCTCATTAGCTGCTGTAACTGTGCAGAGGCAATGACCTGCGTTTTATCCATCAAGTGCATTAAAAGGCTCCGCCAGCTGCTGAGTTCGCCCTCAGAGTGTGAGGGCGAACTCAGAATGCCAAATGCATTTTTTATAGAGAAATGAACACAAAAGTGGGAAACAATTAGCAAATTATAAAAAAATGCTGAACAGTCCGATGTCTGACCGAGGCAAAAGCTAAAGGCTCACTCAGAACGTGTTTTTTGCAAAATAAAATACTGTTGGTTGAAATACTTTTAATAATAGCTGATAACAAAAGCAAGTTTATTTTGTATAAAGTAAAGAATAAATTATTACGACCCTCATACAAATATCTTTCCTGCCAAATTTATAAAATAAAGACTCAGCAGGTTGTTAAAATCTATTTGTAGCATTACTAATGAAATCTGTATTAAAAGACATAATAAAATGTCAGTCAGTAAAAGGTTAGCCGAATTAAATACAACATTTACCAATCCCATCATCATATCATTATATTTGTCTTTTTCTATATAAAATGATATTTGCAATGAGGCTTTGCCATTTTTAACTTTGCGTTTTGTTGTTTATTATTAAAGATGATTAAATGTTAAAAAGATTATAACATCATAAGATTATTACTGTTGTCTCATAGCAAGATGGTTCCCATAGCGAATCCTGGTTCGACCAGGTGTCTTTCTGTGTGGAGTTTGAATGTTCAGCCTGTGTGCGCACGGGTTTTCTCTTGCTTCCTGCAACAGTCAGAACACATGCAGATTGAGTTTATGTTCATCAGAGACTCTAAAATAACCTTTGTCTCTATGTTGGCCCTGCGATACGCTGAAGACCTGCCCAGGGTGTACCCCGCCTCTCGTCCAATGTCAGTTGGGATTGGCTCCAGCTCCCCCCGCAACGTTTAAAAGGATAAGCAGTATAGATGATGGACTTGTTTTATCACAGCTGTATGGATGTTTGGACCTTTTGCTAACTGGTCATTTTTTCGAGCACCTTGTGGTTTCACAGAGACAATGACGTCAAGAGGTCACTTTGTAGAAATATGTCAGCAGGTTGTTTTTGGTTTTTGAACATTCGGCCTTCAGTTGAAATAAATGTCTTTTACACCAAAATGAACAGGTTCACGCAGGTTTTTGTTTTTTTATGTGGGTAATTCTGCCCAAAAAGCTGATTGACATATTTGCCATTGCCAGTATGGCTCTCTCACTGTCTTAGTAAATGAATGTGTTCACCCACGTGTCACGTTTTCATCACTGCCGACTGAAGCCAATTAAAAGCTATGTCTACTGCATTTGACCCGGGAGTGAATGCAGATGGTATCCATTTACACTGCAGACAAAAGCCAGATGTTAGTGGGTTTTTAGACCAGTGGAAAAGGGGCTTTAGTGACTCAACAGATACAGCTTTCAATGGATCAACAGAGAAAAACATGACAGATTTTACCATCTGAAAGTCAAGGAAAGAAAATGAAGAGGAGTGGTAAGTTTTACAACGCTACGTCATTTTGAAAATGTCACCACACTTCACATTCCTTGAACTTGACAAAATTTAAATATGCAAGTTTTAAAATTTCCTGTAAGGGGATTTTCAGATCGAAAGGACCACACACATTAACCAAGGACAGACTCAGTATGAGAGTGAAAGCATCATGTTTTATGGTTGTCAAAGTAGCTGTGAAAACTGAACTGACTTTACTCTAAACATAACACCGCACGGTTTATCGATCATCATCAGTGCTGCTGCTTCCTGTTCCATTCACACCTATGTTGTCATCTGCAGTAAAACACTTCTCTCTTCAGGTGTGAGTGTGTTAAACTGTGAAACCTGATATTATCTCTGGGGTCATTGGTTTCAAAGTTCAGCTGGGCATACACTGTAAAAGCAAACACTTGAAATGGCTCACTCTAAATGACTTTTGATGAAAGGGAAAAAAATATTTGTCTGGAATCTAAAGTTGACTTTTTGGAAATTGTTGAGGCTTTCTGACGTGATCAGACTTTTCATGGAGACAGTGTTATGTGACTTTTCAGTCCACCAAAGTAATGAATCCTTTTAGAATGAATTTCAAATAGTGGGCGACTGGCCCAGGAGGTTGAGCAAGGCCGTCCTCCAACTGGAACGTTAGTACTGTAAAAGTTCTTCGATTGATTGAATAGAAAAGCACCATATAAAATACAGCCTTTGAAAAAGCCTGCTATTTGGAAATCTTTGTATGTTGAACTGAAACAAGAAGTTTCTATCATAATAGATAGATAATTGATCAAAGATAATTAGTTGGCAAAACTTTTCTTGAAAACTCAAAACATATTTTTGTCTTAAATGAATCAGTTCAAATCTATTGCAGTTGAATTTTTGAGTTTTCTAACTTTGTCATTTTTTGCAGTGTAAACGGCTTCAACAGTCAATCTAACTATACATTATATGATGTTTGTTTGGCCCTCGGGCTTCTGCCAGAGGCAATCAAACTGTCATTAAAGAGCAAAAAATGCTCAGCCCTTTGATTCACACGCTGATGTAGAAAACAAAAGTGTCTGGCTTCTGAAGACTGCAGAAATCATTTGGAAATGATAAAAACACTGTCACCAATGCTTTACTCTCATCTTTTTGCATCTGCTAAATTTAACCATCAGCACAAGTAGGACAGGTACCCACAATAACCAATTTTACGACATCCTTCTTTCTGCATTTTTTACATCAGTCACCACAAATATGATCTACTGCTGCAGAGCCAGACTCTAAAACACTCACCTAGCCTCTATTATGAGAGAGAGAAAAAAAGATGGATGATAGAAGCTTCTTTTTAAATTATCCTTCTATGAGACTTAAAAAATAAAAAATGTTCTTTACCTCTTGCCGTTATTTGTGCTGCTGACCTCAGATATGCATCAATGCTGAATGGAAAATACAAATCATCCACAGCTGCTTTAAATATTTATCCAACACATTTAGCAGAGAGGTTGCAGACTCCCATCTCAGATTCTTCTGTCATAAACAAAGAAAGAGTCTTGGATACTGCACTGATCCAGGGTTGTTCTACATGAAATGATGTGTCTGAGAAAACATATTGTTCCTATCCGTGCCTTGCACAGAGCTTGTAACCTGCAAATCATGTCTCAGCTCACTTCAAGACCTCTTTTAGTGTTTTGCACTTTTTTATACACTGAGTCAGGCTGAGGCTGATCAGCATAAAGACTCAATGCTATAAAACAGAAATATGATGAACAAAGAGCATTTTCAAATAAGTCAGTATGGGCTCATCATGATTTACATTAATACTGGCTATTATGTGAAAAGTAAGTAAAATAAAAAAGTAAAATAAAATTTCAAATATCTCTCAGTTGCTTTAACATCTGTAGGTCTGTTCGATCAGATTTTATCACTGTTACTCCCCACCCCTTTAGCCCACTTCCTCTGTTGTTCACGTGTGCAATAAACCAATCCTCCCTCCCACATGTGTCTTTCCCTTTTTGTACTTCCTCTCACCCCTTCTCCACACCACTTGCTGACATTTCAACTGTGCCTGTCCACAGCTAACATCTCAACAGAGCAAAAACGAAATAGTTAGAGAGACTGGCTGATGATTTCCTGTTATGCTGTGGTGATCATCTGAGGGCGTCATGTGTTACTGCTGTGGCTTGGCTGCGTGTCAGCAGCTGTGAAGAGTCTCTTGACGCTCGTCCTTTGACCCTCCTGGACTTAACTCTGCCAACCTGACACAGCTGTGGAATCTGTCTGAAACTTTTCAGCTGGTTGGACGTATTTTTTACAGTGGAGACACACCTCTTACCAGAAACAACAGGTGAGGTCATTCTTGATTCTACAGCTCTGGATGTAAGGTGTCTGGGAATTCTAAACTTTAAAAAAGCAGTGACAGAAAGAGGTTAAAACGTGACTCATTATTGTTTTTATTCTTTTCTAGCAAGGTGCTAAAAGTATTTCATTTACTTTGATATTTCACTCGCAGATGACATGCTTCAGGCTCTGTCATATATTGCACAAAATAATTAGAAACGTTGGTTCTCGGGTGGTGGTTAGCTCAACAGTCTGGAGATTGCATCAGGGAACTGCTTGACAAGAAGAAATAGTTGAAATTCATGAGGATCTACTGTACAGCTGGATTATGACACTTTTGAAATACAGACAAGGGAGCTTTAGAGCGTTAAATGAAAAGCACATTTCCAGTTCTTCTTTAAAAGGTGGTTTGATACACAGCACATTCTCCTCTTGAAAAGAAACGGCTGAAGTTTTGCTCTTTTAAAGCCTCACTGGTGACAGGCTGTGTAATAACAACTAGGCTTTGTTCAGTTCATAATATTAACAAATACTGGCTCAGATGGACAAAAGGACGGGCTGAAGCTTGGACCAGAAGTAGGCCTGTATAAGGTCACGTATGCTTTTCATGGGTAAATACATGACAGATTTAAACTTCTATGTGAAGAAGAGAAAAAAGAAAGAAGTGAGAAAACAAAACCAAATGCATGACACAAGCCCAGAAACAGTTAGAGGCCGATTGATGGTACGAAAGACAGTTTGTGAGTCATAAAGTCAGACTGATGATTAAACAGCAGCAGAGGAATAGTTTTATCAAAGGTATATTTATGACTAAAACTTTCCGTAACTAAAACCATGGTATTTTCCGAAACCACTTTGATTAAAAATGTTATGAATAATCCATTACATCAAAACCGTTTCCACATGCACACACACAAACAAAAACCCCCCACACATGCAGGCGTGCATTATCATTTGATAAGATGGTGGAGTCGAAATGTCTTCTCATTCATTGAATTTGGACCGAACAGCCTATCCCTGTGCAGACATTAATGACATTAGAGGCTCCCAGAGCCTATAAACACACCCATGCCGAGCCTGCGTCTGGACCAAATGCCACAGAGATACAGAGCAAATGTTGAATTTGATAATGTTTAATCTCACAGAGAGAAACGGAGAAAAAGAACAGGATAAAATCAAAATTTTTAAAGAAAATGTTCTTCAAGAACAAGGGAGATGTATGAAAAAAGTCATTTACACAGGAAACAGTGCAATGACATCAAAGTCATATTATAATAGAGAAAGAACAGAAAAAACAACTTGAAAAACTGAATAACAAAGTAGTCCCATCAGTAAGTAAGTGGTTATTTCCTCATCAAACCTGGATATAATAATACATTTGCAGTATTTTGAAATCCATCCATCGGCTTATCCGGTCCAACCCAGGCCAACATTGGGCGAGAGGCGGGGAACACCACTTGCACATTCACACCTATGGGGAGAACATGCAACTCCTCAAAGACCACTGTACCACTGCAGGCATAACGTTCAGGAAAATGATGGATTTTTTACTCTGATGGCAAATTTATGCTCACTCAGTGTGTCCTTCAGCAGTCTATGAGCACCTGAATGTTTTCTCCACTGTGTCCAGCTTCTCATCTTTAAGAGCATTGTCCTGTATTCGCCCAACGTGCACAAGGTCTTGGAGTCCGTGAGGCCACTTTAGGTCGTTTCAGAAATATAGGAAATATAGGAATTTACATTAAGGAGAAATCAGTGACTATATCGTTTTCCATTTTCTGTTGACATTTATCTGTGTGGGCAGTGTTTTTTTTTTTTGGCCTTTCTGTGCAATTTCAGCACCAGAACATTTTGAACAGGAAGCGACATGTCTGCCGAACAGGTAGGGATCACAGCTCTGTAATGGACCAGGGACAGACTGCGCCTGCAGCATAAATCTGGATAGGAATTAATTATTTAATCCACGTAATGGATGAAGTTCCTCATCCTTCAAGCCACAGTAAACATTTTAATCCCCTTTGTCTGGGAGAGACGCTTCGGCCACTCATTGCTGATGGTTTCATCAGGCATTAAATGGACAGTTCACCCCAAAATGAAAATGAACTCATTATCCACTCACCACTATGCCAATGGAGGGGTGGGTGATATGTTTGACTCTTCAAAATGCTTTTGGAGTTTCAGGAGTAAAACTGTGTTTGACTGACATTTATACTAAAAACATGGTTTTGAGTTGAATTGAAATGTCGTCGGACACTTGGATGACACCACAGGAGCAGTATGGAGGCATTTTCAGTTTTTTTTTTTTTTAGGTTTGAAGAAGTGGTCGCCATTTATTTCAATTGTATTGGATTTGGCTGCAACACTGTTTACACCTGAAACTACAAAAGTGTTTTGTGGACTTAATCCCTTCACCCATCCCTTTATCGGCATAGTGAGGAGTACTGTCCGTTAACCTGGACCATCAGTTGGTCTCTATGTGGATACATTTAGATTGACTGGTTGAGTCTGATGCTGCATGGTGATACAGTGGTTTGCACTGTCAAAGTAGGAAAGTTCCTTGTCAGGTGGTGTCTTTCTGTGTGGAGTTTTCATGTTCTCTCTGTGTCTGTGTGCATTTTTCTCCAGCTTCCTCACACAGTCCAAACACATGCATATTGGAGTTTGGTTGATTGCAGACTCTTAATTGACTGAAGGTGTCGTTAGTGTGAGTGTGAATGGTTGTTTGTCTTTGTATGTTACCCCGCCTCCCACCCATTGTCAGCAGGGATTGGCACCAGCTCCCTCAACAGCCATCAAAGGATCAGCAGAATGGAGGTATGAATGGATGGATGGATGAGGCTGACTGGAGTTGAGTCATATCAAGTACTGATTACAGTAAAATGCAAATGGTTACTTTGCCAGTGCAGTCGCCACTGCCCCTGCCTGCTGCTCAGAGTCAGACCAACAACAATTCAGACATCCTGTCACAAGAAGCAGCATTTACATAAAATGAAGAGTGATCAGCTCAGGGAGTTGGGAGCAGAGTTTCAACATCCAACTCATCTGATACACAGCATTTACTCCTTAATGCTCTCAGTCCCCATAAAAAACAGGAAATGCACAACATACTTTCTCCATACAGAGCACTTGAGGCAATAAAGAGTTGATCTTGGCAATCTCATTTTCTCTTACAACCGTGGGTGCAAACTGTTTATCATCAGCGAGCGTGACTAAGCCTGCATCTTCTCGTGGAGGAAACTTCAACTTTTTGCTCACACACCGTACACTGTAGTGCCAAAGCAAGTCACTTTGAGAAACATCAGAGGACGTTCTCTCTCAACCATGAAATTGGATGGCGGGGAAAGAAAATGTCCAAGCTGTTGTATGAATTTTTAGATATTGTAAGAATAAGCTTATGTTGCCTATATGTCACTTCTACTCATTCAAACTTGTTTTTATTTTTTCTGATGCTTGCAGGTGAATTTCTAACCAGGAACGAGACAGAAGACTCAAAGGGCAATGAATGTCTCAGTCATGCCGCAGAATACAACGCAGAATACAACACAGAATACAACCGATAATGTGTGTGTTGATATCAAAAAGAGCCCCATCAGTGACCTCCTAATGTCCGTTTACATCCTGGTTTTTATTTTCGGTTTGGTCTTCAACGTGCTGACTTTGAGCCCCATCTGGCAACAAGTTCGGCAGCAAAACATTTTGGGCATCTTCCTGCTCAACCTGTCCCTCTCTGACCTACTTTTCATCTTCACTATGCCCCTGTGGATCAATTATTACCACCAAGACCACCACTGGGAGCTGGGCGTTGTGTCTTGCAGCATAGCAGGCTTCTTCTACTACTCCAACATGTACATAAGCATCTTCCTGCTCTGCTGTATCTCTGTGGATCGTTGCATTGTTGTCACGTATCCGCTCCGCTCCAAGACCCAACGTACATCGCGCTATGCCTGGGTGATGTGCGTCACTGTTTATGTTGTAGTGGTGGTGATGCACATCATGGTGCTGATCCATGACAACCTCAAAGATGCCCACGATGATGTGAAAGGCAATGACCGTTGTTATGAGACTTACCCCATGGAGAAGAACATTGCTTGGTTCAACCTGATCAGAGTGGCCATTGGCTTCCTGCTGCCCCTGCTGGTGCTGGCAGTCAGCTACTGGAAGGTGCTGGCCACTGTGGGCCAGAGTCCCGGCATGAGTGCCCAGGCCAAGAGGAAGGTCCGCATGCTGTCCTTCGGGGTGATCGGGATCTTCTCAATTTGCTTTGCTCCATATCACATTCTCCTGCTCACACGGTCGCTAGTCTATTTTTACAGCGACACACGAAGCTACTGCAATTTTGAGCAAGACATGCACTTCTTCTTCTCGTGCATGCTGGCGCTGTCCAGTCTGAACTGCGTGGTGGACCCTGTGCTGTACGCGCTGGTCAGTAACGGGATTCGAGAGGAGGTGAGACTGTGTTGTAGGAGGCACAGAAGGACACGGACAGAGGGTTGTACTTTATCTTCATACACCAGAGGAAGGTCAAATAATTTAATATGAAACATTAGCTGCACATGAGTGGAAAAGTACGTCTGCGCATTAGTTTGCACATGTGTTTGTGTTTAAGCATGTATATGATTATGCATAATACTGTAGCTGTTTGTTTGTCATGTCTGTATCGCATGTTTTAGCTTGTAAGGATTGATGGATTATCTTCAATCAACCTTTGTGTGCAATCAGATATCCACTGATAGAACCGCATTGCCACCTTTGTTTTTTTCCTCCTCCATATCCTGCGCAGAGGTTGAATAACATGCATCTCAGAGCTCTGTAATTGGATTGTAGCCCCAGGTTCTGCTCTCCCAAGAGTTCTCCAGCGACGGCCACTTCTGTGTTGGCGGATGGACACGACTGCAGTTGAAGAGCCCTTGTGTTTTTCCTACAATCTATACAAGGAGGTTGACACTGTGATTGTGAGAACCTGGTATAAATAATGCATTAACTGTGATGCATGCCATAAAAATAAGCACTTATTAGCATGACTGTCTGTCATTGAAACGTGTTAAATGTGAACTCAAATAAACCAGTGGTTTGATCAGGTGCTCTGGTTTTAGGTTGTGTTTGGTTCATGCAGACACTATGAGATGATCAGAGTTGCAGTTGACATTTTAAACATCTCAACAGGGAGTGAAGGGCTCAGGAAAGATCAGATGAGAGCCAAGCTGGTGCATGGGTGATGAAAATACCAACAACAAGCCTGAAAGACAAATTAATTTTCTTATGTTGGCTGTAATAAATTAACATGTCGAGTGTGTGCATGTGTACTTGTTTAGGTTAGGGTAAGTTAGGGTTTAGGATTAGGGATACTGTAGGGTAGGTCAGGTTAGGTAAGGGTAGGTTAGGGGGTTAGTGTTATTGATAAGGTTGTAGTTAGGCTGTCCACGATGTATGAAAGTCAATGCAAAGTCCTAAATGTGCAAACCTTTCTCTCTCGCTCTCTATCTCTGTGTGTATGTAATCTAACCATGGGACATATAAGCACTATGAACAGTATGAACCCTGATGCTGTGTAGGATTCTCTTGAAGCCTACAAAGCCAACCTCTTGTTTAGATGGTGCACAGCAGCCCTGTCTCCTGGTTTATTATTCTGTTTGTCTTATCATCAACAAGTCTCATGAAAAGATCAAAAGCAGTGATCTAAAACTAACAAGTATTAGCTGTGGAGCAAAAGCCTGATAGAGTTTATGTGACTCTGTAGTTATACCTCTGTAGAGTAGGTTATGTTTTCATCTATGTCCATTTGTTTGTTTGGTTGGTTTGTTTGTCAGAAGGATTTGGGGAAGGTGTGGAAGGATGGAACATGGGCCAGGAGACACCCCTTCAATTCTGGCACGGAGCTGGACAAAAGAGCAGCTCCAGGATTTTATTTTATTTAACATTTTTTCACTTCATTGCAGATTCCAAGAAAATAATCACTGACCTTGATGAAAAAATTTAATTATATTTAATTATACTGAATGAATTGGCTTGATTGAAATTAAGAGAAATCTTAGGCAGTGGTGGATCCAGGATTTTTCTAAATCAGGGTCCATAAGGGGCCATTTATATTCCACACATCATTGATTATATTTTGAAAGTTGTTACTTCAAGCACATTGAGTAATTCAAAGAAGGCTTAGAAAGAATTTCTCCACAAGCTGTCAGATTTATTGTTGGTATTTTTAGTAAGTGACCATGGGCGCTCCAAGGACCAATCAGATTCCAGCTAGGGCACAGTGACCCCGGATCCGCCCCTGCTGTGTCTTGGCAGAGGTATGGCCTTCCTGAGTTCCATTCTATTTTTTCAGAAGCCAGTCCCATGTAAAGCACCTGCTGCCAGAAATTACTGGCTAGAGCATTGTATATGTTAGTCACTGGTTGAAAATGGTCCCTGAACTAATCCTTAAAAGATCAAAATGATGATGATATCTTCATTTGGAGCAAATGGCTTTGAGATGGAAAATATTGATAGTCGGACTTGTTGGCTTGGGCTGAAAAAAGGCCGAAAAGGCTGAAAAAATGTCTCACTGTTAAAGAAAGTGAGACGTAGGCCTCACTCCATTATTTGACCTCAGTACTCTAACCAGTCAAGCATTAACATAATTCAGTCAAACAACTCACGTTGGCTACAGGTGGTTGCTGGGGTGGTGGAGGGGCTGAAGGGACTGGTAGCGATACTGCAGCAGCAGTGTGAGCAAAGGGGTTCATGGGAAATGTCTCTCTGCTTAAATAGGCTGCCTAATAAGGTGGGTGTGTATAATAGATGATTGTGGAGAATGAGGTATGTCACATGATGTGTGTCACATGATTGGAGCAGCGCAGCTCGAGTTGGCTGCCTGAACTAGCTCGCAGGGTTCGCTCCATTAGGAGGAAGCGCTTCTTGCAAGAGCGACTTGATGCCATATTTGCAGATGTTAAAGTGTAGTGCCATTTAAAAACATTTCATGAGGCTGCACTCCATCATCTGGTGGCATTAGACCCAAGTTAATACACATCCATTTTCTCTTGCCTGAGCTTTTAATGAGCAAAGTCAGGCTGTAGCCAGACTCCCTGGGAAATCAATAGTTTCATAGATTAGCTGCTCTGACTCATAACCTCATAATGCAGACTTGGTTTAAATGCATCATATACACAAGCTATTTTTAGACAATGTTACATTAGTGCTGAGTGCTGTGTCACATACAAACCAATAGAAAAAGTAATGTTTCATCTCCTCCGCTGTAAGTAATAAGCAATCACTGCTAATCAGTTAAAACCTCTGTGAAACGCCACTCTCCTGATTCACACTGTTATTGTGTCTTTAATGAAACAGCATGCCATTATAATCAAACTCCATTTTACCAAGACACAACACATTTCACAACCTCAAACACAGATTAGTTAGATTAGAGATTTCCTTTGGAACACAATAGGCAGGATATTCAATTTTCACAATGCAACACACTGAGTTTGTGTTTCTGTTGGTAAGGGTATAGTAAAAGATTCATCAGATTTATAATAATAATATAAAAAAATTACAATATTGAATGAGCAGATGGCAATTCATTTCCCAGAGTGGCTGATCAGAGTGGTTCTCGTGTGTTTACGACTTCTGTAGGGTTCAATATGCAATAGTCAATACCACCTCTACATGCAGTTTTCTTTGAGCTCTAAAAAAATGGTGTTCTTTTTAAAGGTTGTTTAGTTTTCCAGTTTTCAAACTCAGCACTCATCATCCTCGCTGCCAACAGCAGCCAGTCGCTGTTATAAACATTTGATAACACATCAGCACACACCTCCTGCACAGCACCAAACATCAGATACACTTGTAAAATCTAATCCAATTCCATACACATATAGATTCTCCCTTTATGAAGACAATAACATTCAGTTTTGACTGTCAGATAGGTCATTTTTTATTTCTATTGAGGTTATGTTTGCTGAGGTGATGAACTGTAACATTATACTGATAGGTGTTTCTAATTAAGTAACCAACCCCAAACATGAGGGGGAAATATTAAAAACACATTGCAATATAATACAGCCACTAAATACGACCTTAGTAATAGACATAACTAGAATGGTACACTCTACACTGATAAAGAGCATTTACAATCTATCGAGGCCCAACACTCCATCATGTTTGTTTGGACCAACTATTAAAGATTCATATAAACTGTCTATTCCCCACTGAATCCACATGATGTTTTCTACACATTGGTTATAGATACATGTTTTTCAAGCTCCTTTTCTGTTTTTTACAGTCTGACAGCTGAAAAAAATCCTTCTTACCACATTTAAATCCACTAGGTCAGGATATGCACCAAAGTAGACACACTCATAAAAGAGTCCCCTCTATTTCTATTTTTTTCTATCTGAGGAAATCTGTGAATTTCTTGCATTGTTAAAACAAACAAACATCCAAAACAACACAGGGGGTAATTAGCACCTTTGTGTAACATATAAGGTTTTACCTAAACGTGTCAAACATACCAATAAACGTGATTTACGTGTCAGAGCTGTTGCGCTTGATTACACAATTCTGTACCAGTGCATCTGATAAAGGAGCCAAGGAGTTCAAAACATATTCACACTGCCCACCTGGAAACAACCAAAATCAAATACAATATAATTCGATTGTTGTCCTCTCAGGAACATAAAGTAATTTCAGATGTGTAATAAGTTGAATTACAAAGTTACAAAAAAGAGACACAGAATATTTCCCCACATTTTTAATTTACAGACAAATGAATGAACCAGCAAGTACAACATATTTTTACACCTGGTTAAATTTAAAGCCTACTGATCACTTTTATCTCTTTTTAAATGCATCACTGTGCTTGAACACTCGTGCATGTTTATGTAAAACAAACATAACCACAATATATGGGGAAAGTCATTGTAATTCCTCTCGTTAGGGAGCTTAGTTTGTTTATACAAACAAGTCTCAGCCAGAATCCAGTCAACCTTTTGTAAGGTTAAACATAAAAGTTTGTATATTCATGAAAATCAATCACATGAATGGAATAAACTGGTGCAGCTCTCAGTCCTATCAAAACAACAGTGGCAACAGAAAGTCAGAATTTGATCTCTATCATTAAAAAGGACAAAATATCAACAATGCATCCTAAATATTTTTTATCCTGTTGTTTGATTGGAATTTTTCTACATCATAGCATCATCATCATAACTGATCAAGTTAAAATGGCAAGTAACCTAAAATTACACATTTTTATTCTAGAAATATCAGATTTTTTCCTCATTAAGTGGCCCTAGTTTGAAATGAGTGGGACTCAGCTGGAAAAATGCAGCACCCAGCAACAAAATGTGACCACAAATGACACTCAGCAAATGATCCGAGTGTTACTAGATAGATAGTAGATAGATGATAGCCAAGCAACGGACACTGTGCCTGGTATGAGGGCAGTTGAGAAACCTCCCCTCTGAAGAACGGAGCAGTAACTCCTGCAGATCCTCTCAGAATCACCACCAGGAAAAGAATCAGACTGAGTGGAGTTGACTGCTGTCTCAGTGTTCACTTAGAGTGAAGGGCCAGGGAAACTCGTCTGCTGAGCAACAAAGTAATGTGATTGTTAAAAGGTAACAGTTGGCCTCGGGTGCATTGGCTTGAAACTGGGTCTTTTAAGCTTCAGCTAAGGCTACATTGGATCATTTGGTTCCTGTCAGTAGGCTGACCAATTGATTTTGGTTATTTTGGTTAAAGCTTCCTGTGACGCCCCTGATGGAACAAACAGTGTTGTGGTATTTTTGAAAGGGTTGATCAGGTTTGTAGACAATGTGCAACCTTTCATTTAATTATTGAAAAAGGAATAAAACTAATAATAGTGGAAACTGTAGCTCTCTAACTAAGAATCAATGAGGCCTAAATGTGATTTAGATCAAAATAGTCACTTCTCATGGTGAACCTTTTTCACAGGAGATATGTTTTGAAATTGACTTGATTGCCAGACTTTGATAAACAAAAAATGCTTAATCATAGTTGATGGAAGCGCAACAGGAGTGGCGTCAGAACACAGACACTGATGGTTGGTTTATTGTTCATGGTCTGAATATTGAATTGATCATTGTGTAAATCTTGTTTTCCAGACAGAGCCAAAGCAATGAGACTCTGTTTAATCAGCCTCACTGCCATTCAGCCATTATAAATTTAGAACTGATTACATTTCACAAACAAGGCTTTTAAGATTTCAGCTTCATATACTGTTGCATACAGGCCTATAGATCCACACAACTGTACAGCTATATACATGCAAACAGCTATTTATCTATGAACTCAGATGACACTCAAACTCGGACATTGGAGCCAAATAGCAGTGAATAAATACAACATAATAAAAGTAAAATAGCAGGTAAAACATTCGTGTTTTGATACAACAAATCTAATATAATGTAGATGATATGTTATATTATGTTAGACATAATGTATAAAATGATTGGACTACTGAAATAGGATATAAGAGTAAGTTGATGAGCACAGACATTTAGTACCATGGACAAAATAAATCAGATTTTGTCTTTAGCACTTATCGTCTTCTTGTTCCAAATCCATGTCTGAAGAGCTGCTAGTTCATCAGTCATCGGTCATCTCCCCTGAAGTCAAGCGTTTACTGTTCAAATAAAACCAGCCTCTGTGACCTCAGTAACCACTTCTGGTCTCAGCATCCGGCACAAGTCAGAGCCAAAGAGTATGTTTATGCCGCTGCTGCAGCATCTAATGTTGACACCAGCAGCTCAGCCGTCCAATAAAAAAACAGGGATCTGAATGGATGACTTAATCTTCATTATAACGTTTATACGTTATTATACGTTTTTCCTGGTTGTAATAAGTAACCTTATTTAGAATGATCTCTCGGAACACTTTACAAGAGAGGACTAAACGTCTTGAAGTCACAAGATGAAGTAAAGTCATGCATGGAGAAAAATGATTTAATATATGCATGTGGAGAAGCTTCATATTTCATTTACATCCATTTATAGCTGCAGGTGTTAGCTTGTGAGTAGTACTAGTAGTATTAGCAGCAGCAGCAGCAGCACTAGTATTAGCAGCAGCAGCAGCAGTAGTATTAGCAGCAGCAGCAGTAGCAGCAGACACAAGCTGAAATCAGCTCCTTGACGTCACCCTCTCCACCACTGCCCTCTGACGCTTGCGGCAAGGACAGAGGTAGCCTTTCAGGTGCATGCGGACCTTGCTGTGCAGTGAAGCGTAGATGAACGGATTGTAGCACGCAGAGCTCATAGCTACTAAATGGCAGCAGACCTGTAGGACGTTTATGTAGCGCTTCCCTATGAAGTGGAAGTCTGGGTCCAGGTCCAGCAACAGGTTCAGGACCTACACAGTGAGAGGGCAACACTTATGATTGAGACTGTAGGGAATTCTTAAAAATACACCAACTGTAAGTTTGTGAAAATGACTTGGCTGCCCCTGGATATTAGTGCAACAATAAAGGGACAGTGGTTAGATAATCATGCATACAGTATTGGTGTGCTAGGTAGAATGCTGATACTGGTTAATTTAACCAACTGGCAAACTTAGGCTTTAAAGGAGACACACCATGCTTGTTTTCAGGTTCATAATCTTAATTTGGGTTATTGCTTGAAAATGTTTACATGCTCTAATATTCATAAAACACACCACAGGCCTCATACTGTCCACTGCTGCAGCTCCTCTTTACAGCATCTGTCTGAAACACTTTTGTCTTTTTAAGACAACACCCAGTCTGCTCTGATTGACCAGCTGGCTGTCTGTATTGTGATTGGTCAACCACTTCCACCATGTGAGGGAAATGTCGCCCTTCGCTCTCGCTTCACGTGGTAGGCGAGCTATTTTGCAAATCATCAACATCATAATGGTGAGGAAGTATCAGTCAGATTACTGATATTACTCCCTCCTATCATTTCTACTTTCTGCCGCTTTGTATAGTTATTCGTCTCTGTCTCATGTTAATTACTTAGTTTAAGCCTTTTTTATTTAAAATTCTACTGATATTATGCACTGGTTCTGCATTACTCGATATACACTTTATTTTTATATTTCATTCACATTAAACTTCTATTCTTTCACTTAAAAGTTTAGACANTTAAATACGACCTCATCCTCACTGATCCCTGCTCAGCTATAACACTTTTAGCACTGTAATGGAAATGTTACATTTGTGTATGTATAATTGCATGAGCAGACATGTACTGTTTTTGTTTGTGGTCTCAAACATACCTCTCACATCCTGCCTTGAGTTCCAGCACTGCCACCTTGTAACCAGGGTTATTGCAGATTCTACTCGGTTGTTTTACAAACACTGAATTATTTTTTAACTGTCCCTAAATATGACCTTTACTTTTTACAAAGATCCATAAATGATTCCTGTGCCTCATGTTGCATTGTTGAAGAATGCAATAAAGATCATGGATCCAGCTTCAAATAATTCTCTGCCACAAAATCGTGTGGAGGAAGTATAATATTTAATATTAGTATAATATATTATGCAATGATACTCTGAGAGTGTATTTTAATCAGACCTGTCACACATTGCATTCAAGACCCAAACCCTATCTGGCCAATTATTCATATTGAAAATAAGCAAATGAAGATGACATCAAGTGAAACAAAGTTTTTACTTATACGTATATACTCTATTAAACAATTAATATGTAATCAATCCATTTATGTATCTATTTACTAATTCCAGACACGTATGATCTGTGCATATTGTTCTTATGTGTGCAGCAAACCAATTAGACTGCCTCATTGATGGGCTTATTTGCATAATTCACCATCATGCAACACAAAGGTGAAATAAGGTCAATCAAGGGGATCATAGCAGGTCCTAGACAGAGTATGTGGGTCAGGTGTGTGTCTGCTTGTGTATAACTTCAACTGTAAGTCCAAGTGGCTAAGTCTCTAAGTTGACACCCTTCATGAGAACTGCGCCGATTTAGAGGCCTATATGAAGTGCTATGTAATATATATAATATAATATGTAATAATGTAGTGTAATGATCAAATTACTGTGAATCCAAGTAATTTGCACTTTATTCTTGTCAGTGATGATGTCATGGATGATTAGTGCTTTATTGTTTAGGGAGCGGGCATTCTGTAGATGGAATGACGGGAATGATGCAGTCAACAGAGACGAGGTAACGTCATCGAGGTGTGACAGAGCACCGGTCAAACACCACAGCGGGGGTGACATGGTTGATGTAAGCAAACTTGAATCGGGATGTCCTGTGCACATAGTGAGGACGGCGCAGGAGTCCAAGGGATTTGATGATCACCAGGCAGTTTGGGGTGAAGTGGCAGACGAAATTCTGGAGTTGCACAGCGGAGTATTTGATGAGCACCATCTCAGCAGCACAGGCAGGTAGCCATGGATTGGGCTGCAGCTGGACAACAAGTCCAAACGGGTCAGGGAAAACTCTGATGTTGTGGGAGGCCAGGGTCCAGTCGGGGCACAGCCTGAGCAGGAAGCAGCAGCTAGCACCAGCTACAAGGCGCCGGGGTGACGGGACCGAGCAAGGTCAGGAGCAGATCAGGCCAGAACAGGGAGGGATAGTCCTGGGATCATAGCAGATGAGGGTTCTGTTGGGACAATATCCGAGTCGAATAATCCCTGGGTTGGAATGTACACCAGCGATGAGGGGAAGCTAACAGCTGATCTTTAAAGAAGGTGAGTACTCTGACAGCTGAGCACTCTGATGGACAGAAAGAGTCACCGAAAGTTGACCAAGGAACAGGACATGGTCTGTTCCTTGTCTGTCAACAGTCAACCAGGATCTTGTAGCAATACAAATGATGGATTGTATGAGAAAACACGGAAAAAAAAGTTTAGCCGTGGACTGCAAAGCCGCGACATTCACGCCACCATCCTCACTGCCATCTTCCTCTTCTTCTAATAATACAGCTAATGAACTAAAATATTTATCATTATCATCAACTTTTTTTTTTGTGCAGTTACTGTCATCTTGGAGCAAGCCAGCACATGGATTAATAAAGTATTTTTTTATCATTCCCATCTTATTTTATCTTTCTGCAGTATGATGAAGTCCCTTTACCACAGACTTTGAGCTTTTTAACTTTACAGACATTTACGTTCACAAAAAAACCTATATAGCACACTAGAGGAAAGAAAAACTGAAAAAGCATCATATCATAAGACCTGATATTCCAAGAGCCCACTTCGTAACAAATTTACATCTGAACATTACTCTCCCTCATTTCGGCACATTTCACCACTTACTTGCAAACAATTCATGGGCAGACACTTTTAGAACATGAAGCTGCAATAATTTGTGAACCATTTATCAGCAGTGTCTTCAAAACACTTGTGAAACAGGCCCTAGGTCTGTGCAAGAACACCACAATATAAACACTGCCTTCTTCTTCCATTAAGTGATCCTAATCTGTTTGTGTTTTGCAAGGCTCATTGTGGATGCTGCATTTGTTTTGTGGACACAATTACCTGGTGATGAGCTTCTGTGCTCAGTGATGTGTCAAATCTAATCATCTCCTCCACATTGAAAGCTTCACCCCTTTTTTATCACTCCACTGCTGTCGAGTCTATTATTTCTAAGCAGATACTTTTGAACTTGCCTAAGCCTCTGCCAAATCAAGATCATGCTTAAAATCTGCTAAACTGAACATTTCATATAAGGAGTAAGAGAGGAGGATAGTCCAGCTAAGATGGTCGTAGACTCACCTGCAGTGGTAGCCAACACAGGGCAAAGGCCAAAACTGAGGCCACCAGAAGAGAGAAGGTCTTCTTCCTCCTTTGGCTCCAGCGCTGCTGACTGTTGGATAGCTCCCCGGGTATTGAATAGCGTTTCAGGCTAACAGTGATGGCACAGTAGGACATACTGACGGACAGCAGGGGGATCATATAGGAGGCTATGAGGATGAAGCAGGAATAGAGTAGCCGCAGATTGCCACTATTTGGCCAGAATTCTTCACACACCACCAAGTCGATACCACTCGGCCGCAGGTCCACATAGCGTGTATAAAGAGAAGGAGGTGCAGCCAGAGCCAGAGATAAGAGCCATACACCCAGAGTCACTGCACCACAACCCCACACAGAAATCCTCCTCCGAATCGGGTGAGCTGATGCAGAAAGGAAACAAATCATTTTCATTTAAACATTCACTGAAATGAAAACCACATGACCGTTTTGAAGGGGAAAGTTCACAACTTGATGAAGATTGTTTGATATATACTCTATTGCGTAAAAGTAATTTGTAACTGAGGCTGTCAAATGAATGTAGTGAAGTGTTGAGATTGATATTTCCCTTTGACATGCATGGGACAGATAAAGTAGCATACAATGAAAAAAGGTCAAGTAAACTTCCTTAAAAAGTGTTTATGGTGGTAAATGTAAATGTACTTAATTACTTCCATTGATCTTACCTACAACAACATAGCGGTCAACCGCGATGGCAGTGAGTGAAAGCACTGAGGCGAACACCGTGGCACATTGCAGCAAGGGGACCAGGTGGCACAGGGGCCTCCCAAAGGCCCAGCCATGGCTGTCGAAGGCGTAAGACACAGTCAATGGAACGCAGCTCAAACACATCAGCAGGTCTCCCGCTGCCAAGTTCCCGATGAAAAAGTTGGTGGCATTGTGGAGTTTCTTGTCAGCTAAGATGCAGGCCAACAGGATGGAGTTTCCCACCCCGGCCACGGCCACTACGAGGCAGTAGAGAGGTAAGAAGAGGGGTTTGAAACGCAGAAGAACCTCCATGCCCACGAACATGTCCAGGGGGTCGCTGTGGTTGAGTCCTTGGCCTTTAGTGCCTTCTTGTCCTGTTTCATGGCTGGTGTTACGTGTCACACTAAAATCCATGAAAATATCCATGTCTCTGCAGACTGACCAAAAGATAGAAAGATAGCATCATCAATAATAAACCAACATACACTAAGTAATTGATTAACCTCATATTAGGGATTTTACTGGCAGAGCATATATAATCAGTACATGCCTGCACACGTTCTTAGGGAATTATCTTAATCACAGGGTTACAGAGATCACTGTGGATGTGAGTGACAGAGAAAAATAATTGACTGTTTCTAATCCAGAAAATAAAAACGTTCACTGCATCATTTGACACAGGGATGTGATTAACTTGTTCAATTGAAAAACTGAGAATGTGTTTCTTACCTAGAGTTTTTATGACACATAAAATGCATAATAAAAATCATTCACAGCAAACGACTGATGTTTCAGGACCTGTTGGCGGGTATTTCACAAGATGTAAATAACTGGCATTTTAAAGGGTCTCTGGAAAAATAAGTGACAGTGCATGTGGCTGAAACTGTGGGATTTGCGCAAGAAAAACTCTTAGCAAGAAAAGGGGAGTTCAATCTCTTTATGCCAAAAGGCAGTTTAATGTTGCCATGCAGCAATTTAATAAATT